GAGAGCGAAGTGCTCTAATAGGGTGATATGGTACTACAAGGTCATTAAGATAAGATGGGGCCTGATTATTTAAGACCTTGTATGTGAGGAGCAGGATTTTGAATTCAATTCTGGATTTAACAGGAAGCCAATGAAGGGAAGCCAAAACAGGAGAAATCTGCTCTCTCTTTCTAGTCCCTGTCAGGACTCTTGCTGCAGCAGTCCAGCCTGGAAGTAATAAATGCATGAACTAGTTTTTCAGCGTCACTCTGAGACAGGATATTTCTAACTTTAGAGATGTTGCACAAATGGAAGAAAGCAGTCTTACATATTTGTTTAATATGTGCGTTGAAGGACATGTCCTGGTCAAAAATGACTCCAAGGTTCCTCACAGCGTTACTGGAGGCCAAGGTAATGCCATCCAGAGTAAGAATCTGCTTAGATACCATATTTCTAAGATTTTCAGGGCCGAGTACAATAACCTCAGTTTTATCTGAATTAAGAAGCAGAAAGTTAGCGGCCATCCAGGTCTTTATGTCTTTAAGACATTCCTGCAGTTTAACTAATTGGTGTGTGTTATCTGGCTTCATGGACAGATAGAGCTGGGTGTCATCTGCATAGCAGTGAAAATGTATGCTATGTCTTCTAATGATACTGCCTAAGGGAAGCATGTATAATGTAAACAGAATTGGTCCTAGCACTGAACCCTGTGGAACTCCATAATTAACCTCAGTGTGTGAAGAGGACTCTCCATTTACATGCACAAACTGGAGTCTATTAGATAGATATGATACAAACCACTGCAGTGCAGTACCTGTAATACCTACAGCATGTTCTAATCGCTCTAATAGGATATTATGGTCGACAGTATCGAATGCTGCACTAGGTCTAGCAGGACAAGCACAGAGATGAGTCCACTGTCAGAGGCCATAAGAAGATCATTTGTAACCTTCACTAAAGCTGTTTCTGTGCTGTGATGAGCTCTGAAACCTGACTGAAACTCTTCAAATAAGCCATTCCTCTGCAGATGATCTGTTAGCTGTTTGACAACTACTCTTTCAAGGATGTTTGATATGAAAGGAAGGTTGGAGATTGGCCTATAATTAGCTAAGACTGCTGGGTCTAGAGATGCTTTTTGAGTAAAGGTTTAACTACAGCCAGCTTGAAGGCCTGTGGTACATAGCCGATCATTAGAGATAGGTTGATCATATTTAAGATCGAAGAATTAATTAATGGCAGGACTTCTTTGAGCAGTTTTGTAGGAATGGGGTCTAAAAGACACGTTGATGAATTACAGATACAACTCCACTTGAGGCATACAAACCACGCCACTCAGTTCTATTTAATGCTGCACTACAGAGTCAAATGTGAGAGTCTGGTATAAATTAATTCTTTCCACCAAAGCACCTCAACAAGGAAACAGAACAGTGAAGGTATTATTAGGAATGGGGTCTAAAAGGAATGAACATTAGACTGGTGGACATCTGTGCTTTGGTCTGATGAGTCCAAATTTGAGATGTTTGGTTCCACTTGCTGTTTCTTTGTGCAATACAGAAAAGGTGAATAAATGGTCTCTACATTCATGGTTCCCACCGTGAAGCATGGAGGAGGAAGGTGAAGATGCTTTGCTGGTGACAATGTTGGGCATTTACTGAAAACTGAAGGCACACTGAACCTGCATGGCTACCACAGCATCCTGCAGCAACATGCTATCCTATCAGGTTTGCCTTTAGTTGGACCATCATTTATTTCTCAACAGGACAATGACCCCAAAACACACCTTCAGGCTGTGTAAGGGCTATTTGACCAAGAAGCAGAGTGATGGAGGGCTGCACCAGATGGCCTGGCTTCCACAGTCACCTGACCTAAACCCAATGGATGGTTTGGGATGAGATGGACCTCAGAGTGAAGGCAAAAGGCAAAAAAGTGCTCAGCATCTCTCAGGTGACGACCTCATGAAGCTCATAGAGACAATGCCAAGAGTGTGCAAAGCAGTAAAAAAGCAAGGGGATGCTATTTTGAAAAATATGTTTTGAGTTATTTCACACTTTTGTGTTCACTACACAAGTTGATGCCTTCAGTGAGAATCTACAATGTAAATAGTCATGAAAATAAAGAAAAAAGATTAAATGAGAAGGTGTCCAAACTTTTGACTAGTAATGTACATGTGGAGAAGTGTAGCTACTGATTTAGAAGAAAAATGGTAATGTGCAAAGCTGTAGTAACTACAGAGAGATAAAGCTGATGAGCCATACCATAAAGCTACAGGAAAGATGTGCTGAAGAGTTGCTGAAGCTAGGTTAAGAACAGAGGTGACGATCAGTGAGCAGCAGTATGGAGAGTAAGAGCACTACAGAGGTGATGTTTACTTTGACAGTGTTGATGGAGGAGTTTAGAGAAGGTCAGAAGGAGTTGCACTGTGTTCTTAAGGATCGAGAGAAAATATAGGATAGGTCAGACGAGAGGAACAGTGGTGCTGCATCAGGAAGTCAGGAGGGTGGTGCAGGACATGTATGAGGACAGTGAGCCAGGGGATAGGATTACCATCTTGCCCCTTCTTGTTTGCAGTGATGATGGGCAGGTTGACAGATGAGGAGCCAGAAGTCTCCAGCAACTCTGATGTTTGCACATGACATTATAATGTGTAATGACAGCAGGGAGCAGGTGGCAGTATGCTCTGGAGAGAAATGGTAAATGGCCTGTATTTGTATAGCGCTTTTACTAGTCCCTAAGGACCCCAAAG